TGCCGGTTCTGCTGGTTGCCCTCGCCCGCTGGCCATCAATGGGCTGCTGTGGCCAGGCCACTGATGGCAGCCTGCGCTGCTGGGGGGACTGGAAGTTCACGGGAACAATGCAAAATCTGCTCCTTCAATGTTTGTCTCTGGATGTGTATGTGGCTGGTTATAGGTGAATGCTCCATGAGCAGTTTTTCATTTTTGAAGCATGTGTAATACACCATAAATTGGAGATGGTTCACTTGCACAGGCATCTCACTTGCACAGATTTTCCCTCTTTTTGAAGGGACTATGATTTGTACTTCAAGGTTTCTCAGCCCATTTCTCAACATATGGCCAAAGGGTCTATGAGGCTACAAAATGGGCATGAAAACCCTTCACGTTTCATGGAAGTGTTGTGTGGTTTGACTAGTTAATGCATGCGTATGCATATTCAGAGCTTCACATCAAAAGCACTTGCATAGCATTTGTATGTGCATACAGGTTTCTACCGCTATATAGACCACTAGTATCACATTATTTCTCATTCACGTACTTCCCTGTGGGTTTTGTAGGTAACAGTAGTCAAAAAATAATGTGATTTTCTGTTTTTATAGGGACTCAGCAGTTAACATTCATTGCCAGTCAGACTCCTTTTCATGTCTGGCAGCTCTACAGAACTTGGGTTGTGTGACTAAACTGTGCTTGTATGAAGCATGCCATTAAAACGGGAATAGTTGTTCAACAGATTAAGGACTCCTAGGATCAAGTACTTAAGGTGAACTTAAAAAACCACTGAAACACCTACTTACGTAGGTTAAAAAAACCCAACAACCTCCTACCCCCTCGGCTTCCTCCCTCGTCCTGTGTAGTAGGTGTATTAAAAGTGAGTCTGTTGCTCAGCTAACACTTCAAAGGGATGTAAGTGGTTGCAGCCAGCAAAAGAAGTCCTGTCTTAACAGCGTTCACAGAGCCTCATTCCTTTTTTGCTGCATCAGTTTTCAGCTCGATCAGTTTCCTGATCCACTGTGCTCTGTGGCCACCAAATCCTAGTGCTGGCAAAGGGACATGGTGGCACAGGACTGAGGATGAATGCTTATGGGACAAAGGTACATGGGACTGTAGCTTGAGGGTTGATTTGTTAAACAAGAAGTCTCAGAAATCTTCTGAGACTCTCAGATTAATGTATTTACTCTAAACAATTCAATTTTTACAAGTTATTCACAGTTAACTATCTTTGCTTTTATTTGAGCAGGAGTGATACTGACCTTCTGTCTTCCAGAAGAGAACAAGTTGTCTAATTGCAATATTTTCTTGATCAATTATTACATTGTGCCCTTGCTTCTACTGTTGAGGACAGATGTTGAAAAATATCTTAGCCAAAGTAAAAAATATATATATATATTGAAGTTACACACATGCATACACACATATGGGCGCACACTGTGTGTGTATATACACATAAATATATAGGATTTAAAATATTCCAGTATGAGTGACTCTACTTCACAGCTGTAATGTTAGGCTTTTGATCTCACCTGTTAAACATTTAAGTATTTTTAATTTAAACTCGGTTATTAGCCTGGGAGTAGATAATTGGGTTTTCTGAAGTGCTCATCCCAGCAAACAGATGAAACTCTTTTCCTAGTTTGGAAAGTGATTCTTCTGTCTGTTTTCCAGATCCACAGTATAAATTAGAATGAATAATATTACTGAAGCATGATGGAAAATTTAATAGTTAGGAAATTAGACTAATAAAGACCAAATGGAGCTAAAAAAAAATGTAGTGAAGGAAAACGAGGAAATGCCTTTCAACCTGTGTATTGTGCTACGGCGTCTCTCTCTGTACAGACAGCACAGATGTAGATGTGCAGAGATTAATCTGGTCAAGATGCAGCTAAAATACCATGGAGTAGGGGATTTCTGTGTCTGACTGTTTATTCTTCCATATTAAAAACAGAAGGTCAGCAGATTGTAGACAAAGGGCAGGACCGCCAAAAGAAAACATGCCAAAATATTTCAGTAATTGTATCGGAGAGAGTGAATGTTGTGCACTGCCACAGGGCCTTTCAGAAAGTAAACAGCTAATCTGATTGTAGGTAATTGATTACTGTGATTAGTGCTGTGTAGTCTTTCCTCAGGGAAGAGGAAAGAAATGGATGAGACTTCCTCCTGCTGCTCCCCTTTGCTTGTGCCTGGCTTTTGATGCGTTTGCATTTGGTGAGCGGTGTTGCTCATTGCTAGCTCCCGAGACAGCTCCAGAAAAGGAAAACAGAATGTGCCTGGTTATGAAGTTGGGGAACTCGATGGGGAGCTTGGTCAGACCTTGGTGCCCATCCTGCGGTAAATAGTGAAGTGTAGCAATACGGAGTGAAGCACATCTCGTCTGGGGGGGGGACCTGGTTCTGCAGCCCTCGCACCCACAGCCAGCACCGCTCACTGTCCAACTCCCTTTGGTCTCAATAAAATCAGTGGCTCTCTTGACATTAATTGCAGTAAATACTGCTTGCTTTATCCCTACTGATTTCAGGTGCTTATATAACACATATGATGTTACATTCATATGTTTTAAATAATCACTGATGCCTCCATTGGTTTGTCCTTTGGTGTCCTGTGTGTCTTCAAAGTAAACCCTCTTTTTCAAGGTTTCGAGATAAAAAAACATAGACTTATTCATATGTTTTAAATAATCACTGATGCCTCCATTGGTTTGTCCTTTGGTGTCCTGTGTGTCTTCAAGTAAACCCTCTTTTTCAAGGTTTTGAGATAAAAAACCATAGACTTAAGCAAAATGTTCTGGATGTAGTTGGACATAATACCAGCAAAATGCGCTGATATTCAAATCTACCCAAATACATGGGAGAAAGTGTAAAACTTGGACATTTATCCATTAAAATGAGACATTTTCTTTGCTAAAACTGGCAAATGTTGATAACTTGGCAGTAACCTGAATTTAACTTCTCCATCCTACTTCTCCAAGAATTTAATCATATCTAGCTTGTTTTGAGGGATTGATAGTTATGACGAGTGTATCAAATTTCATGCCAGTGGTAACTTTTATGTTTCCTGAGAGAGGAGAAAATAGCAATTTTACCTTGTGCCCAGGAGTCACAGAGAGCAGGAATTGTAGATACCTGCCACATCGAGTTTTTAAATAAAAATGAATTGCAGAGCAGCGTGTAGCAGAGATGGGGAATGGGAGGGAAGAGGGGAAAGGGGTGAGGCATAAACTGTAGAAGAGCATTTATTGCATTCCCCCAGTTTCTAATCTAACGCAGCACTGCAGAGTTATGAATATGCATGATCTACACTTTGTTCAGATGTAAGGCATCTATATCTGCGTGTTTTTTTCAAGGGATTTATAGCTTTTTGTTTTTCTGTCCAGGATTAAATAATTTAGCAAAGATGATGTTTATATACGTATGTTGCGTAATTCGTGTTTCCGTGCTGTAAATATTGAAAAACAGAGGTTCCTGACTGGTTTCCCCTAAATCTTATTTAGGGCAAAGTTAATCCTGTTGTAAATACTTACAGCTTTACTTTGAAACTTACTTTAAAAATAAGAAAACACAAACCCAAACAGTTTTGAAAGTTGAAAGATGAGTTTGAAACTAGCAAAGCCACATCTATTTAAGAGAACTGTATTAATGAGAAACATCTAGCATCTGATTCTGTGTTCATTGAGGCAGATGTTTTTGAGAACTGGAAGACAGACCCATAGATTTCAACATACATTTGCTGCCTTTATGGAACAAAAAAAACCCAAAACAACCCAATACCACAACAACAACAAAACCAAAAAAAAACAAAACTAAAGCCAAAAAAATGCCCCCCCCCCAAAAAAAAAAAGCCCCAAACCAAACCACATCATCAAACCCAACCTTTTCTAAATATTTATTACAAATATACACCAAAACGGATGATTTGGTTTATGACTAGAAAATCAGGCTTATGGTGAAGTCAGTCAAAGGGAGACACGAGCCTGGTTTTAGCTTTGAAGCAAACTTAACGTGTGTTTTTTCGGCAAGTCACAATGGGACAGATTTTGTAAATTTTGTAAATAACCTAACTTCTGGAAAGATACCACAGTATGGAACGATATTTTTAAGGGAGCTCAGTACCCGCTATGTTTATTTGGAAGATCTGTCACTGGTTGTTGGTATGAAGTGCTTGAAAATCTGTCTCCAAAAATCTGGCTCCATGGGCCTGATCCATGCCTCATTCCAAACAACAGAAATAGTTGCTGTGACCTGAGGTGATCAAGCCTGTACTCTATTTCTGACCTTCACAGTAAATGAATTAACCACATCTTCTTTTTCCTTCCTTGTCTTATTTGGTTGAGTTTCATGGTTTCTTCTACCTGTGTACTTCTTACAGAAATTAGATACTACAGTTGATAATAATAATAATAATATAAAAGTCTATTGCAAGTGAGTTGGAGGTTTGGAGAACAGGTTAGGTCTGGGAGTAAATGCCACTTCTTAATTGTTTTGGGTTCTGTACAAAGTCATCCGAATAATGGCATAATTTAAAAAACAACAACACCAGCAGCCTAATTCAGTACCCTGTGCCTGGTACCCTCACAGCATACTGGTGAGGCATTCTGCAATCTCTGATCTGCCCACCCACTCGCACGCCTGAGGTATCTCACAGGTCACTTCTGCCCCAGTCCTGTGAATTAAATGGTAGGACTCAGAGTCACACCTTTGGCTAATCGAAATCAGTGTGTCACCAGCTGAAAGCAAGGGAACCGTGGTGTTTTCTGTCACCTTTGGAGCTGGTCTGGTGCCTACCAGCGTGTTTTGTTTAATACTTTTTGTTATGACATTGCTTAGTGTGATGCTACTTTGCATTTTAACACCGTTTCGTTCAGTGGAAGAGAAGCAGTATTAATAACCTCTGCTCAACACGGAGATGCACACAGACCTTGGGTATTTCTTTCTGTCACTGCTGGCTCTCTGCTTATTGTGCTGGCAATGCTGGTGTGGGAGGAAAATGTGCTAATTAAGTCCTCTTTTTTGTTATTTCAGGAAACCTACCATATGAATATAAAATAGTGATTGCTGGGAATCATGAACTGACATTTGATAAGGAATTCATGGCAGACCTTGTTAAACAAGATTACTACCGCTTTCCCTCTGTGTCCAAATTGAAACCAGAGGACTTTGACAATGTTCAGTCACTCCTGACAAATAGTATTTACTTACAAGATTCAGAGGTAACAGTTAAAGGATTCCGAATATACGGTGCCCCGTGGTAAGTCTCAATTTAAACTTTCTTTGCTGTTTATTACTTGAAC